GCTGCAGACAAATACAGGCCCGCAGTAGCTTGCGGTCCTGCAGCGCGTCGCATAAGTGCTGACCTTTTACCTCGATGCCACATTCAAACGACAGAACGCCTATTCTGCCCACTACGAATATGGCAGGCGGTAACAAGGATGGAAAGAAGAAGGTGCTGGTTGTGGGAGCTGGAGCGGCTGGTATGTTGAACGCGTGTATTAAGATGCATCGTTGTTGACTTGAGGCAGGAATGTCGTGTGCTCACCATCTATCCGAACACCCCGACAAATTCGATGTTACCCTCATCGATGCAGTAGATTACTGTGGTGGCCAGGCTTTTTCCATTGGAGTCGACAAAGAGCGCCATGGCGCCGAATGGCTGAACCAAGGTGTTCAAGGTGGAAGCTACATCTTCCACCACACCATGACAATGTTCGCGAGACAAGGCCATCACGCAGATCCGGTCAACCTCCAAGTTTCCTTCGGCAAAGACGACATCTTCTGGACCAACGTCTTCCCCACGGAGCTTCTTGCGCGCCATCAGAAGGAAATTCGCAGGTTCCATACCATGATCAAGATTGTCCGTTGGTTCGAGATTTTTTTCGCATTGATCCCGATCAAGATTCTATTCAAAATGTTCTGGTTTTCCGAAGAGTTCACCAACACTGTCGCCATGCCAATGATTGCACTTTTTCTGGGAACTGGAAACGAGACGCCAAATGTACCCAGCATCATCCTAGAACGACTCTGCACTAGTCCAACGTACGGCATGTGGTATCCGGTAGACAAACGAAGCATTGCTAGCAATCTGCCGCCTATGGTTGTTTTCCCCAAATTCAGCGAGTTCTACGAGCGCTGGAGGCAAGATCTGCTCAAGAGAGGTGTCAATGTCAGGCTATCGACGGAAATAACTCGAGTTGTGAAGCGAGACAAAACTGGTGTTACTGTCAGGTTGATCAAGCGTACGCCCATGCCTGATTCGCACAATCCCAACAGTGTCCACGTACCCTACGACGACGAGCACAACGCCGATGCGGACGCGCAAGAAAAGGAAGAGCACTATGACGAAATCATTCTCTGCGTACTTGCCGACACGGCAAAGCGTATCTTAGAAACCACCGCCTCATTCCGCGAGAAGAAAGTACTCGGGTCCGCAAAATTCTCCGACGACATCACCGTCACCCACTGGGACAGCGACTACATGCATAAGCACTACGAAAACTTCTACGACCCAGAAAAGTCCGCCGAAGAGCTCTCCGGCGCCGACCAGACAGCCCGCAACCAATACGCCGAGAAGAACTTCAAGCCCATGTACTACATCAAGATGTACCCGCAAGACCGATCAAAACTAGAAATGTGCTTCGACTGCACAAACTACCAAAGTCAATTCCCACCGGACGTCCCCTTTGACAAGCACATCTTCCAGACTATCTACCTCAATAAGGCGCGCGACGGCCATCTATGGAGCATCGACGAGATCAACAAGGACAAGATCATCCGCAAGGACTGGTGGCACCAGCTCTGCCACTCCTGGACCCATTACGTCTTCGTAGTACCATGGATGTGGCTACTCCAAGGACGAAAACACACTCGCTTCGCAGCAGCATGGACGCTTATCAACGCTCACGAAGTCGCTGTCATGAGTGGTATCGCTGCCGCTGTTGATCTCGGTGCACAGTACCCTGCTGATCTCGAGCGCGACAAGTTTGCTTTCTTGAGCTTTAGGTTGTATTACCTGCTGGCGTATGGAAAGTGGTATAGCCGTAAGGCGACGAAGGAGACGAAGGAGGGGCCGGGGAAGGACTGGGCGAGTGGGCTTTATGGGAGTGTTTATAGAGGGCCTGGCGTCAGTGAAATTGATCGGCTGCAGTGGAGGGAGGAGAATGATATCAAGGGCGAGCCGGTTACGTATGAGTATCCTACTAATGCTGGGACAAGGTAAGCTTTGGAACAAGCTTTGTGAAGAGAGGGGTGGAGAGCGAAGAGTGGACTGTGACTGGTGTCCTGATGGCTGGCGTAGCTTTACCAATACCACATCCAATATTCATGAGTGAACGACTACCACATGCCTAGTTCTTCTCCATCTCAACCTTTTGTCAGCACGTTCACAGAAATCTACCTTTGACCTCAACGCGCGGTCGATCACCCAATACTAACTTCGTCCCAAAACATCAAGTAAGCCCTACACCTACGATAATTATCATGAAGCATTGAACTGATCCTGCAAACAAGGCGTAGGATCGACGTCGTATAGTCTTACGTCCAGTCCCGAGTTGTAACCCGCGTTAACTCCGTCAAACTCCGCCAAGACCCTGCATATCATGACCACTTATCTCCACAGCTCCACATGGAAGATGTGTAATGATGTCGTTGCCAGAAGTATAAGTAACCCAAGCATCCAAAATATCACGTACCCAGAATCGAGATCGTCACAACGGAATATTTGACCATCTTACCAACCATGTCATCCAAAACACCCCTCGACATCGTCTTCGGCTGCATGACCTTCGGCCGCGAAGGCGAAGAACAAGTCCGCACTTCGGATATAAACGACTGCGCAGCTATCCTCGATACTTTCCAATCCTACGGCCATAACGAGGTCGACACGAGTCGTTTCTATGGCGTATGCGCACCCATTCCCTTCTCGCCCTCCTCACCCCACCGAACTAACAAACCCAGAATGGCACATCGGAAGAATACCTCGCTCAACTCTCCTGGCAGAAGCGCGGTCTAGTAATGGACACCAAGTTCTTCCCCAATGTCCATGGACTCTTCGGTCGTACACCCACTCACTCTAGGAAGGAGGATATGGGCAAGAGTTTAGAGGAGAGTCTCAGTGCGCTTGGAACCGAAGGCGTGGATTTGTGGTATCTGCATGCGCCGGATCGGAGTGTGCCGCTTGAGGAGACGGCGAGGGCGGTGCATGAGTTGTTTGAGGAGGGAAGAGGGAAGAAGTTTCAGAAGTGGGGGGTTAGTAATTTTATGGCTTGGGAGGGTATGTTTAGTCCACTTCATGCATGCGTCCTGTCCCTTCCAACACTCCCTCATTGCTCCATATCAGATACCATGCTAACTGTTTATCATAGTCGCAGCAATCTGCGAGATCTGCAAAGCAAACGGATTCCAGCTACCGAGCGTATACCAGGGTGTATACAACGCCCTCCACCGCAGCATCGAACACGAACTGCTCCCCTGTCTGCGCAAATACAATATGTCCTTCTACGCGTTCAATCCCTTGGCTGGAGGATGGTTGACTTCGCGGTACAAGCGCGAGACGCAGAATGAAGCTCTGGAGGCTGGGAGTCGGTTTGATGCGAACCGTAAGTCGATACCTTGAATCAATTGATATCACACAATGATTGAGGGTGAACTAAGAGCTGACATCAATGTTCCACAGGTATGCAAGGCAAGATGTACCGCGCACGCTACTGGAACGACGAGTTCTTCACTGCGATCGAGAGCCTGCGGTCTGAATTACCTGAAGGTCAAACGGAGAGTGAAACGGCGCTTCGGTGGATGATGCATCATAGTCAGCTCAAGAAAGAGTTTGGGGATAAGGTTATCATTGGGGCGAGTAGCAAGGAGCAGTTGAAGATGAATCTCAAGGACTTTGAGAAGGGGCCGTTGGATGAGGGGGTTGTGAAGGCGCTGGATCAGGGGTGGGCGGTAACGAGGGGGGTAACTTGGAAGTACTTTCACTAGATTGGGGGTCGAGATCGAGGTCGAGGAGGCGAAATGCGTTGGAATCTGGGGGACAGCTCCGTGAGTCAGCGTTTCGCAGGCGGGAACGTGTGCTGTGAAAGAAGTGTCAGTCACTTTCGAGACGGTCGACTGTAGATGGTGAACAGCATCTGGTGCTCCTCGAGCAGATAAAAGAATGGAGAAATACTTCCTTTACTACATAGTTGTCGCTCCACGCAACCCCAATAACATCCACTCACTCAAAGCAAGACAGCAGCACACCAAACATGCCATCACCATCCCGCCTCCAAACCTCCATCGAGGATGCCACGACCAACACCATCAACGCCACTATTGCGAAGAGACAGACACGAGAAGCGGAAGCGGAAGCCCAAACCGCGGCACGTGCCCAAGCCCAAGCTGCGCGGAACGCTCAAGCCCAAGCTGCAATAGCCGCTCAAGCTCACGCTTATGCCCAAGCTCAATCCCGACTCGCAGACCAAGCAGCAGAGCAGGCCATAGCCGCAACCGCAGTCGCCATAGCAGCAACCCAGCACGCGCGAGAAATCCGAGAAGAATTCCAATACACTATGCGAACCATGCGGCGGCACGCACTCGGATTGACCAGTGATGTAGAGAGAGAGAGACGGGGACGAGAAGAGACCTGGAATGCGTTCCAAGCTCTAGTTCGGCGACTTGAAGACCAGCGTGGACACCGCGGTGAGACAAGGGGTGAAGAGCAAGAGCCTCGTCCTTCGCCTCCACCCGCTGCGGAAGAGTACCACCATTGCGACTTTGACCATTGCAATGGTCTTTGTACGTATCTTAAAGACTAAAGGCGCATGAAGGGATCGAGCTCTCGAGTAGGGACACCATTGCTGGCGAGACGAATAGAATACCTAGGCCGTCAAGAACGAGATATTCTGGTTTAATGGGACAAGATACGGTGATCCTATATATATAAGCAAATGGATACTGTGTCGTTAGTGTGTATTTTGGTACAATGTTGTACAGCAGTGGCGTATATAAAGATGCTGAGAAAGACCGAGTTGTAAGAATGATATAGAAACTTGAGCATTAGGAGTAAGCTATAATTGAGAATGACAAGACTTAGCGAAGGAAAGGGGGTATATCAACCAACCAACCAGTCTAGGCAATGCAACAAATCAAACGCGCGCGCAGATGCAGCCCTCAAACGCAAGTACGGAAAGCAAACTAGATGAGGCAAATCAAACGCCTAGATCGTCTCATTCTGGAATCGTGTAGACAGTTCGTAAAACAGGATTTGCGCATTTACATGGTCGTCGTGAATCTGGTAATGGAAACGCTTGTTAGCAAGCTACTTCCTCTCCCTTGTCTCTCCATCCACAGGCTTGACGCTTGTGCTGCCTTCGAGAGGAGGGATGTAACCTAATTGCTTCTCATTGCCTCCTTCCATTGGTGTAAAGGGCGTGAAACCGCCTTCGGGCGACGCCTGCCACTTTGCCATGTCCTTCTTCAGTTGTTCCAGCTCCTTCTGGAAGCGGTTGCCGAAGACGTCGATGTAAAAGGTTGCGCCGTTGTAGACACTCCAGATGAAGACGACGGTGAGGAACAAACCACTCGGCCAGCGGTACCAAAACCAGACGGGGCAGGGTAGCATGGTGACGACAGCATAGCTGTATTGAATGAACATGAAGGCAGGCTCTTGCATGAAGTCGGGCAGCGAGAGGACTATCTTGCCGATCCAGGTTTTGGCGTACGACTTGCGCAACCATGTGAAGCTAGTAGGTCGGCCAGCGGCAATCTTATCGCGGCGACGTACTGTGATGAGAAGGTGGTAGGCGACTTGCCAGACAGCATATGGACAAGTGGCCCAGACCATCATTTGCAGTAGGTTGTAGTGGTGAGGCGAGGTTGGGTCGGAGTGGCGGATGTCGTAGATGGCGGGATATTTCTCTTGCTGGTATTCCGGGGGTAGCAGGTGAACGAGGCAGTGCAGCGTGACGCAGGGCATAATGTGGATGAAGAGACTAGGCAGATTAGTGGGTGGTTAATGTTAGAGGAATGTGCTCCTTACCTGACGACCTTGTCCATGCTGTGGAAGACTAGCGAGTTACGCCACATGACAATAGCGACGGCATTGTTTCCCATGCAGAGGCAGTATGTCGCGATGAACAGGCGCTTAGACTGCGGGAAAACCCACACACTCAGAACCAGTAGTATGTTGACGAAGTAGCACAGATCGGCCAGGAAGTAGTGGTAGCCCTTCTTGTGGTAGGTCATGAAGCGGATAGGCATAAAGTAGAGCAACTGAGCCGTGTACCAGTGTGGGAACAGGTCAGGGTGGCAGCCCACGAGGTATCCAGAGACGAAGATGTTCATGACGGCGGCGATGAACGAGGCCTTTTCGCGCGCAGTGACGGTGAGCGACTCGTTCCAGCGGCGGTTCAGGCGGTCGACCGAATGGCGCATGCGTCTCTTGTACTTCTCCAGCTGCTCTGCTTCCGACGGCACTCTGCGCCGCCATTCTTCCACAACGCGGTCTTTTGTGATGCCCCGGTTCTTGGCCTGGTTCTTGATCTTCTCTGTCTGGGAGGCGATGGAGCTCTGGATCTTCTCGATACGCTGCGACAGGGCGAGGTTCTCGACAAAGTCGAACATGGTGAGCTTCTCGACGGGCGGGAAGAAGGCGGCATCTTCGACGTCGGAGTCATCGTGGTAGGAGCTGTTGGAGAACGAGGCAGAGCGGGAGAGACCAGGCGTGGAAAGTGGTTGGTTTGCGGAGGATACAGGCTCATCCAGCAGCGTAGAGTCGCCTGGAGTCGGACGGGCCGAAAGCTCAGAGACTCCCAGCTGCGGTTCCGACCTGGATTTGGGGATACCGCCTATGTCTGCATCTTCGGGGGTCGCCATGGTGGGGAGTTCCTCTTGGACGATTTCGAGGCTAGAGGGGGTTCGGCGGTGGAGGGGTCTCTTGAAGGGACGCGGGGGGGAACCTGCAGCCGTCATGCCTGTTAGCTGCTGTATATCGCTGCGAGTGCCCCCGGTCCATGGTCGGAGCAGAGGCGGTATATCAAGAAGAGAGCGTACAGTGGGAAGGGGCGGCTTAGATCAGATCTAGTCAGACCCTATGCTCTCATGACAAGGCGAGTGATGTGCGGGGGTCGAGAATCGTGCTCCTCTCAGAAGTTCGGGGCTTCTGGGGCAGAGGTCGTGGGTGAATGCAAGCTGGTGATTGGCAAGCTTCACAACGTCATCGCAGGCACCCGTGGCATGCGAGGGGGGAGAGGTCACGAGGGGAGGCGAAGTGGACAGAGGGTTTAGAAAGACGGCGCAGGTTCCCCGAGACTGCAGCGAGTATAGGAAAATGTAGGTGGACAAGCAGGGCCGGTGTCGAGCTCCCCTGCGTGCGGCCACGCTTTCGTCACTGCGGGCCACCATGCACGTCGAGCCACTAGCGCGCTTTGGCCGTCAACGCGACTACGCGCAACAACACGACGATTATCACGGGCAGCCCACCCCGCGACTGCAAACCCGCCCAACACGACCCTCCCACCGCGCAATCGCCAGTTTAGGTGTCGCGCATCCCCACCGCCATCATGGGCAAGCTCGTGCGGCTCGAGATCTACAGTAGGCCCCCCGACGCGCAATTGCTCGCATCCACACACTAAACATGCGCAGACTTCAAGTCGTACCGCGGACGCCACACGCTCCTCTTTGGCGACTCGTACTTCACCTCCATCATCGGTCCCAATGGCTCGGGCAAGTCGAACAGCATGGACGCCATCTCCTTCGTCCTGGGAGTCCGGTCGTCCCATCTGCGCTCCGAGAAGTTGAAGGACATGGTCTACCGCGGCAGGATCATCCAGGAAGCGAGAATCAACGCCGACGGCACCGTAACCGAAGCCGACGGCGATGCGAACGGCGACGCGAACGGCCAGTCCAATGGCGACACACAGGACAATGGCGACTCGCAAACCAGCTCACAGCGCAACGACCCCCAGAACGCCTGGGTCAAGGCCGTCTTCGAGGACGACGCTGAGCAGACGCACGAGTGGCAGCGCGCCATCACCAGCTCCGGCTCTAGCGAGTACCGAATCAACAACCGCATCGTCACCCAGAAGCAGTACGGCGAGGCGCTGGAGGAGCACAGCATCTTGGTCAAAGCGCGGAATTTCCTCGTCTTCCAGGGAGACGTGGAGAAGCTAGCGACGACCGCGCCCGAGCAGCTTACACTACAAGTCGAGCGCATCTCTGGCAGTCTCGAGCAAAAGGCCGAATACGACCGCCTGAAGGAGGAGTCCGAGAACGCCACCGAAGACAACGCGAAACATCTGCACGAGCGTCGCGGCATCAACGGAGAGCTCAAGACGTATCAGGAGCAAAAGGCCGAAGCCGACGAATACGAGAAGAAGCTCGCCGAGCGCGACGAAGCTGTTGTCACAAAGAACCTGTGGAAGCTCTACCTAGACCAGCAGATTATGGAGAAGGCGCGGAACAAGATCGCCAGCCACCAGGAAGAGCTCAAGGAACACAAGCGCAGCGTCGAGAAGTACCACCAACGGCACGAGGCGGAGAGGCAGGCCGAGGCTAAGATCAGGCGAGATCTGACCAAGACTGACCGGAACACCAAGGCCAAGGAGAAGGAGATCGAGGACGCCTCCAACGAGCTCGCGCCTATCGAAGAGAAGATCCGTCTTTCCAACGAGACCCGCCGAAAATACGAGAGCAGACTCGAGGAGCTCCGGAAGAAGCGCGACGCTGAGAAGAAGGCTGTCGAGAAGTGCCAGAAGGACCTCGATCTGGTCCAAAAGGCCGAGAAGAAGTGGGAGGATGACTTCAAGGCGGCTGCCCAGAACCAGGGCCGCGAGCTTTCCGAGCAGGACCTCCAAGAATACGGCCGGCTACGCAGCGACGTTACGAAGCGGACCCACGGAGACCAAATGCAGATAGACAAGCTCAAGCGCGAAGTCGAGACCGACCGGGACCATGTGAAGAACCTCCAGCAGAGCGTCGACAACCACGAGAAGGCTGTCGAGAGGCTGAATGCAGACATCAGCCAGCTCGAGGAGCGCCTGAAGACTTCCAAGACGCAAGTCAAGGATCTGAAAAGCGCAAGAGCCGCCAAACAGCAGGAGCTTGACAGACTCCGCGCCGACCGAAAGCAGATCGAGATGCAATACTACGAGAAGAACCAGTTGCTGCAGGAAGTTCTGAAGCAACTCAGCATCGTCGAAGGCAGCCGTCGAGAGTCAAGGAAGCAACAGGAGGCTCGCAGAACTATCGATCGCTTGAAGACTCGCTTTGGATCTGAGAAAGTGCACGGTCGATACAAGGATCTCATCACCCCCAAGATGCAGAAATACCGCAAGGCTATTGGACGAGTGCTCGGACACCAGATGGATACTGTCATTGTCGACACCGAAACCACCGCCAAGTCATGCATCGAATACCTGAAGGCAGAACGCATTGGTGTCATGTCTTTCAACCCACTAGACTCCATCCAGATTCAGGCGGTAGACCCCCAACTGAAGGGTATGCACGAAGGCATGCGACTTGCTATTGACTGTATCAACTATGAGCCCAAGCACGAGCGCGCTATGACTGCGGCATGTGGCAACACCATGATCTGTAACACGGAGAAGCTCGCGAAAGAGCTCAGGTACACAAGACGCATCGAAGTCAAGGCAGTCACCCTGGACGGTCGTGTAATCGGCAAAGGCGGTACACAGACGGGTGGTGAGCTTGACCGTGACGACGATTCAAGCGAGCAACAATGGGATGAGCGGTCCTACCAGGCGCTTCTGGACAAGAAGAACAGATATGAAGAAGAGCTCCGCGCGCTTCCCAAGCAAGATCGTCAGTACACCCAGGAACAGGCTCTCGAAGTCGAGTTGCTAGACCTACAGGAGCAAATTGCTCGAGCTGAAGAGGAAGCCCGGGCACTTGGTCGCAACATTGAGAGTGTCAAGAAGGAGCTAGCACATCACAAGAGCGAGTTGAAGGGCGTTCGGCCCAACTACGAGAAGCAAGCGCAACGCCTGCAGGACCGGGAAGAAGAACTCCAAACCTATCAAGACACCGTCAATCAGGTCAATGACCAGGTCTTCGCCGCGTTCTGCCAACGGCTCGGCTACGAGTCCATTCGCGACTACGAAGCTCAACAGGGTACTGTTCAGCAAGAAGCAGCAGAAAAGCGTCTCGAGTTCAGCAAACAGCGCAGCAGACTTCAATATCTGATGAAGCAGGTCGATTCGTCGGCCCGAGGTGTTGAGGAACGTCTCAAGCAAGCCGAGGAGGAGATTAAGCGCAAGACTGCTGACATTACTGAGCTCGAAGCCAAGCGAGAAGAGCTGCAAAGCGCCCGGGACGTACTCCAAGCAGAGTTGGAAACGCTGCAGGATCAACGACAGCGGTTGGAAGAGAAACTCGCTGAACGTGTTGCAGCTGTGAAGGAAGCACGACGCACTCTAGACCAGCGTAACGAAAAGGTCAAGAATGTGCTGAAGGAGGTCGACCAGGAGGGTGCAAAGATCAAGTCGAGCGCGACAAACCGTTACAATGTGCTCAAGGAGTGCCGTGTCAACGAGATCAAGATTCCACTCACGGAAGACTCTAAACCGCTTACGTCCCTACCCATGACTGATATGCCGCGGCCCGACGCGGACGCAGACGCTATGGACATTGACGAGGACCCTGATTCGACCCAGATACAGGCCGCGGAGGTGGATGACTATGGCATCGAAGTCGACTTTGAACAGCTCGACGACGAGCTGAAGACGGAGGTTGTTGAGATACTTGAGAGTGTAAGTTCCAGAGTTAACGTCTATATGATTTGTACTAATACCGCGCAGGAGGATGACCCAGATGAGCGCGTGCAATCTCAAGCTAGCAATCTGCTCAAGGCTGCTGAAGCTAAGTTGAATGATGTGATCACGAACCTCGAAACCGAAATCAACAAGGCTACACCCAACATGCGCGCTGCTGAACGTCTCGTTGCAACAGAAGCGCGTCTCAAAGCCGTCGACGAAGCATTCGCCGAGACGCGCAAGCGCGCCGCTGCTGCAAAGAAGGCTTTCGAAGAAGTCAAGACCAAGCGCTACGATCTCTTCATGAAGGCTTTCAACCATATTTCCGAGAACATTGGTGGTACTTACAAGGACCTGACCAAGTCGCCACAGTTCCCGCTTGGAGGACAGGCGTATCTCGATATGGAAGACAGCTCGGAGCCGTACCTCGCAGGTCTCAAATACCATGCCATGCCACCGCTCAAGCGTTTCCGCGACATGGAGCATCTATCTGGTGGTGAGAAGACGATTGCCGCGCTTGCTCTGCTGTTTGCCATTCACAGCTACCAACCTTCGCCGTTCTTCGTCCTCGATGAGGTGGATGCAGCACTAGACAACGTCAATGTCAGCAGAGTGGCTAAGTACGTGCGCGAGCATGCCAGTCCCGGTATGCAGTTTATCGTCATCTCTTTGAAGGCAGGCTTCTTCCAGGAGAGTGAGACGTTGGTGGGTGTCATGCGGGACCAAGGCAAGATGACGAGCAAATACTTGAGTCTAGATGTAAGTTGCTCCTTCCTCCAAATGACTATGCACTGTTCACTAATCTCACAATAGCTGCGGAAATACCAACCCGCTTAATTTGTCGGTATACCACAATGAAATCGCTGCGATTAATGATAGTCGTTATGAAATGTGCATTCCATACCTCATCCCCGGTTTATGCATGGTCCGGTCTGTGCGGAAGTATCATAGTTATTGTAGTCTATTCTGTACATTAGCGACTCGACGATTTCTGCAGCTGCATCCTCGTTATCTGTGAACGCGTTCGTGCCCAGGTGGTATCGCGACTTCCCGTGATCCATCCAACGACCTGCCTATCTGATCCAGCCCCACTACGCCCTACGGACATAACGCGGCTTATGAAAATTGTCCCAGCAACAACGCGTTGAAGCTTACCGATCATCGCCATGACAACTCTGAAGAGTCATACTTGCGCATCAAAGAGCTATAGCTAAAGCTCGCTTTCGCACCCCTCCATGTCTTGAGCAGTATCCAGCGTCTCGCCGTTGCATGCAAGCCATCCCGACCCCGCCGCAATGACCCCGAACTTCCCACGCGACGAGCATGTCCCTGCGCATGAAACCACCCCACTCCTACCAAACCCCACGGAGGACGCGCCTACAACCGTTGTAGAAACTGGTATCGCACCAGAAGGACTGCACGCAGAAGATGGAGGAGATATAGAACGACAAGTCAGCCATGGCGACGCGTTTAAACACCAAGGCCTGCCTGAAGTCAGGAAGAGGATGAAATATATATTTCCTGCTATTGCTATCGGTGTAAGTAAACCTCTGACTATACTGTGAAAATGTTCTCAATACTGATGAATGAATGAACTGACAGGTCTTCCTATCCTCCGCCGACCAAACCCTCGTCATAACCACCTACGGCACCATCGGCACAGACCTGCACGCCCTGTCCTCTACCTCCTGGATTGCGACGGGGTATTTCCTCACGCTATCTGCGTTCCAGCCGCTGTATGGGAAACTGTCTGATATCTTTGGAAGAAAACAATGTCTATTGTCCGCGTATTTGATCTTTGGGGTTGGCAGTGTGGGGTGTGGGCTTGCGAGGAGCATTGGTGAGGTAAGTCGTACCTGTACGAAACGCACATGATATATACACTGACTTCGTATCCTCACTTTTGAAGTTGGTTGCTGCGAGGGCTTTTGCGGGGATTGGGGGTGGCGGCATGAGTGTGTGCACGAGTATTTTGTTGAGTGATATCGTGGGCTTGAGGGAGAGGGGGCAGTGGCAGTAAGTCTTTCCGTACGAAGTGCGTGTGACGCATACACTGACTTCACACACCCAAATTTAGGGGCTATGTCAACTTGGTCTACGCTTTTGGTGCTTCGGCTGGTGCGCCTCTTGGTGGGTTACTCGCGGATAGCATTGGATGGCGATGGTAAGTCCTGTCTGTACGAAATGCATGTGAGACGTGTACTGACTTCGTACCTCTACCTCTGCAGGGCATTCCTGGCGCAAGGTCCGATGTGCGCTGCGGCCTTCATTGCTGTGTCATTGGTGCTTGATCTCCCAGAGCAAGACCACTCGCACTGGAAAGAGAAGATCAAGAGGATAGACTTCCTAGGCGCGGTCATCCTGATCTTCGCCGTCTTCGGTTTACTTGTCGGTCTCGATCGCGGCTCCAACGTATCCTGGGGTAACCCCATCACCATCGTCGGTCTCGCATCTACGCCGCTGTTCGTCGTCTTCGTGCTAGTCGAGAAGTACGTCGCAAGTCATCCCTTCGCCCCAGGCCGGATCATCCTCAACAAGACGCTTTTCGCATGCTATCTTTGCAACTTCTTCTCTTTCGGGGGATGGTTGGCTGCCTTGTTCTTCATACCGCTTTATTGGCAGGTCATGGGCGACTACAGCGCTTCCAAAGCTGGACTGTTCCTTGTCCCTTCCATCATCTTTGGTGTTAGCGGCTCGCTTTTCAGCGGCTTTTACATGAGGCGTACAGCGAAGTACTACTGGATCACCGTCATGGCGTATACGAACCTCACGATCGGGCTCTCATTCATCCTCCTATTCGCTGGCCTATTAACCGAGAGCTTACCCGCGATGGTGGTGGCTACATGCATATGCTCTTTTAGCAATGGCACAGGAGTAACGACGACACTCATCGGCCTCATCGCGAATGCCTCCCACACCGACCAAGCCGTTGCCACCGCTTGTTCCTACCTTTTCCGCTCTCTCGGGTCAGTCTTCGGTGTTTCCATGTGCGCTACGGCGTTTAATCAGACACTCCGCAAAGCTCTCCAGGAAAAGCTGCAGGGTGACGATGCGGCTGAGATTGCGGAGCGTGTCAGGGCTGGATTGGCTTACTACAGGGGTCTGGATCCGGCACTCAAGAGCATCGTCCGGGAGTGTTACGGAAGGGCGACTAGGGCCGCATTGTGTGTAGGCATTGTGCTTGTTGCAGGGAGCGCCATCTTTGCGTGGTTTATCAAAGAGAAGAGCCTCGAAGATAGCAAGAGCAGGAGTGTTGAGCCGGAGGAACCTGCAGAGTGAGGCAAGGTTCTGGGAGTCGGAGGCTTCCGAGAGCGTCACTGGGATGGCAACAATCTGTCTCTGCTCGTCTTCGGGGGAGCTAGACGATGCAACTAAACGCAAATCTATACCGTCCCTGGCAGATTTTGAGGTGGTAGAAGAGGCATGTGGTACATTCTCGGTGTCTTTGAAGGTGTCGGGATCTGGCTGTCCTAGACTCACCGCTCGTGCTGGGCAAGCATGACTATGTATCGCAGTAGTGTGTCCATTACACGACAGTGTCTTAGAAATCAACAGACGGATATTCGAGGCTGACATGCTGGTCGTGTAAATATGATAGCTTAGTCGCACTCCTTGGCTGTGCTCTCTGGTGTATTAGCTGACTGTATCTGTACTAGGTGAACGTTTTACCAACGCCGACAGCGGGTGACCCTTAATTGCATACTAGATCTTCCAGTCACAAACTTAATGCTGTATTCATTCTGCATGTAAATTCGTATGGATATTACGACTTCCGGTGTCTGACCCCGATGTTGTGAGGCCGGCAGCACGAGCATCCAGCGCTAGTACCGCGCTAAGCCGGCGATGATCGAGAGCCTGCCACGATCCCAACCCCTAGTCACACTGTTACTCTCGCACCCGATCACACGATGGCGCCCAAAACAGAGCCGCGATCCAAAAAGGACCGTTCTCATCCATACCTGAGCAGCATCGTCGCGGGAGGCGCATACATAGCTTGATCGCGTTTTGCGCTTTTGCTCGCGCCCGATGACGTGTTCCGACACCGCATTCTCCAAGCGCAACCAGTGCGTCCCAATGCACGCTCTCGAGCGACATGCACGATACAGTCACTTCAATAGTTTGCGACTCCCCAGACCGCTCCCACCCTACATCATGTTGCATGTAGGTAAAAACTCAGAAACGTCGAGACCGTGGGCAAAACCCACCCGTACAATGGACCCGTTTGAGTATGACACAAGGCGTTATACCCGCATTTGGGTCTTATCATCTCCACCGCGACCCAGAGAAGTAATACGACGCATCCACCCCGCGCACTGGCACTAAAGTCACACCCACTATTCCCATCGGCGTGGCGCTACGTTTGGAGAATGACGTCAAGCTCCATGCGGGCACGTTCCTGGCGCGGCCCGTAGCGGTGGATGTTCCAATCAAAGGTGCGCTCAGCACCAATGGCGCCCTGCCAGCTGTCCAAGCCATCATCAAGCATGAGGCGATTCATAACAAAGTAGGGCTTGAGTGGGGAAGCAATCCGTTGCGGAGCTTATTCAAAGGGGTCTGTGGGTTGGAGAGCGTGGGACGTTTTGTATAGGTAACAGAGGACCCCTATGTGGTGGTGCCTAGAACGTGACTTCTTAGGCTTCAGCTCTTAGTTTTAAACTACTTTAGTTTCGCTACGCTCAGCTCCCCTTTCGACTGCGAGTCAGGTTTGTTTCTGTCTTATACATATCAGGGAAGTACGGTGCGGCAGGAAGCAGGAACCGGAACGACAACAAGTAAAAAACAGCAAAGTCTGATCATGAGCGTCGCTGTCATAGTAAGCACACCTCCTATTCGGCCCGTATATATGCAAGCAAGGCATGTTGTTCGATGAATGGGCGTACTGACGACCGACCCCAGAACCCTCCCGATGATCCGGCGAATGTCGTGCAGTCGCTTGTGAACACACTCTTGGATGTCTTTGATGCCACGAGGGATCTCTACGGGACGCTCACGGCTAAAGAGCAAAGAGACTATGAACAAAACCTGCGCAGCAAAGGATACCCTGCTTCAAGACGGATCGAGTATGTGAAGGATGACCGACTGGGTAGCGATGAGGCTATCGTGACGGACAAAGCTGTGGTCATGAGGCAGATGGATATCGGATGTGAAACTCTGGGGGCCGAGTTCGCCATGGGCGATGGTATGCATGCTATTCCTCTTCTGAACCCTATGAGACCCATCAGCTAACAAGTCACTACCAGTAACCGCGCATACAGCCCTCCAGTCACAGATCATTACCCTCCAAAGCGTGCTGGTCACCACATTCCTATACGGGCCCACATCAGGCGACACCATCGCCCATCAGCTAGCCAACATCAATGCGGCATCCAGAGTAGCAGCTGCGACGTCGGTCGAGATATTGGCTGCGTTGCAGGAACGTCAACAGGATGAGAGGCCGCTTACACCGAGGTCGATGCACTCTTTTACGGCACGTTCGAGCCCGTCGCATGCGCCATCACAAGCAATGACCCTCCATACATCGCATGCGCCTTCACATGTATCGTCACATCATACCTCGCGCCCGCCTTCGCATGCGCCATCCCACCATACTTCTCATGCGCCGTCACACGTGTCATCTCACCATACCTCCCATGCGCCATCGCATGTACCGTCACACGTGACATCCCGTACGCGATCTCGTGCGAAGTCTTTGACAGGATCCCAGGCACCGCCGTATGCGCCATCCCACATCATGTCCCAGGCACCTTCGCATGCGCCTTCGCACATGCAATCACATGCACCATCGCGCGCGTTGACACTGCCTCAGTCTGGTGCTAGTATGAGTTCAGCATCCACAGCTCTGATGAAGTATCCGGAACCACGATCCCGGAGTTCACACGTGCGAAGTAGCAGCCCTGTCAACACAACAGTGCTCGCATGGCGAGATAACGTCGAGCCAGAGCAATCCGTCACCGATGCCACCTCCGTAACCGGACCCACGATGATCTCAGCCTCTAACAACCTATACTGCGTATACGCATACGACCTCCAACGGAACCCAACCCAACAACTTGCCACCAGCATAATATCAGACCGGGACCCCTACTGTCCACACTGCAGAGGTGAACTCCACCTCTCACCAGGAAAAGCATGGGAAATCTCCAAATGGGCCGACGACACAGAACGTACCTTCCAAGTTCAGAACCGCTTCGTCGTCAAGTGTCATCGTGATGGTCCCGACGGCCAATATTGCTGCGTGATTTGCTCCAAGTACGCGGACTCGGATACCATCTGCGGCGACGTCAAGGCTCTTATCAAGCATCTCTCGGATGATCACGATACCCGGCAGCTCAAGCATGAGGAGGATATTGTGGAGGTGATCGAGCAGCCGGGTAGTCGGAGGGACAGCGGCATTGGATATTCTACTTCGGTGAGAAGTAAGGGGAGTCGGAGGAGTGCTAGTCTCGCTGAGGGCGGACGGAGACGAAAGAGTCTGTCTGGGTATGACCGAGAGGCAGACTCATTTGATGGCAGGTTCTCGAGGAGGTAGTCGCATGTTTTGCGAGTCGGTGTTCTGGTAGATTGATGGGTAGTGCGGCATTGCTTGGGTCTTTCTTTGTTCTCTTTGTGGTTCGCTTGGGTTTGTACTACCACCATCACCTCTTTTAGTACGAAAAATACGTTCCTCATTTCTTATCATCATCCTTCCTCTTGCGATTAGCTTAGCATACGCATTACCATTTTGTACAATTGCCTCATCCCACAACCTTCGTCGCAAAGAACGAAGATACAACTATACAGTTCCAATTAGCCTACCACTCTCCAATATGTATCCCCTGTCCCCTCGCTCCCCATTACCCCATCCGTCACCCCGCCCCATCAGCCATCCATCCCTCGCGCACCAGTCAAACCCCCTACCGCGTATATGCTCACGCAGTCCTTACCACAAACCCACCAGTCCATATTCCATGCATGAACACATGCAGCGCTACCCAAAACATACATGCCGACCACATCCAAAACGGACAATGCACGTTTCCCGCAATCAACGGTTTGTGCGAATACCTACTCGATGCGGTAACTTCAGGATGAGATACTGGTTGCAGTGGGACCGAGTCGACCCGAGTGTGAGGTTCTGCGCAGAAGCGGGCGTACGGCAGTATGCGCGCGCGTGTGTAATGTGTGGGTAATATCTTGATTGTGAGGTTTCGGGAGGATTTACCATTGTCTGTTTTGGGACTAGGGTGATTGGTGTTTTGGTGGGTGGCTGGGGTGGGAGCTAGGGGTAGATGGGGTCAGGTTGTACTGTGAGACTCATGCTGGGTACGCGATGTGCCTTGTACACATTCTGGTAATGCGCGACTTGGCCTTTGAGATGTTGGAGTAGATGGTGGAGGTATGGAGGTGGCCGATCGAATGGGTGACTAAGCAATGGTACCGAGATGGCCGATGCTCGGACTTGGAGATACCCTGGGGCCGCCTGTTAACCATCCCCTCCATTGTCACCCCATCCTGGCTCTCGAACGTGTATACGAAAAGCCAGAGTGCTTTGACACCGACTTCGGAGTATGAGATACTTGTACACGTTATTTCCGACTGCACACGCGTTATGTCCAACTAACTCCGCGACTAACACAGGCTGCAGGAACGACTGTTCGTATAACAACGCTCTGATTCTCCGTTGCTTGAGTTACACACTACACCCTCAATTGACTACTACTCACTAGAGCTTCAATACGATTACCACGATTACCTCAATTAGCAACGATGTCAGGACCATACCTTCACGGCCATCACGCATCCGTCCTCCGCTCCCACAGCTGGCGTACTGTCGAGAACTCGTGTCCACACCTCCTCCCCTACCTCAACAACCCTTCACTCAAGATCCTCGACGTGGGCTGCGGCCCGGGAACTATCAGCGTCGACCTTGCTGCGCGCGTCCCACAAGGCTTCGTCTATGCCATCGATCCCTCCACCGAAGTCATCGAGAAGGCGCGAAAACACGCGGAGGAAAAGGGCATCACAAACATACGGTTCGAGGCTGGGGATATACATGAATGGAACAAGCTCGATGGTGCAGAAGAGGCTGGCTTCGATATTGTACATGCGCATCAAGTGCTGCAGCATCTACAAGACCCACTGGGTGCGATGAAGGAAATGAAGCGCTTGACCAAGCCAGGCGGCATCGTCGCAGTCCGAGAGTGCAACTACAGTGCCATGGACTGGTATCCAGAGCATCCAGGAATGCAAAAGTGGAAGGAACTATACATCAAGATTGCGTTTGGGCTCAAGGCACATCCGAACATGGGCAGGTACGTGCATGCGATAGCCTTGCAAGCCGGTTTCCCAAGAAGCGACATCGAGGCTAGCGTAGCCGCCTGGACATTCAGCACACCGGAAGAGCGACAGTGGTGGTGCGGACTCTGGGCCGATCGAACGGTGCAAAGCGACTACAAACAGCGGGCTCTGGACAGTGGATATGCGACGGAGCAGGATCTGGAAGAGATCGCTGCGACATGGAGGGAAATGGAGAAGAAGGAAGATGGCTGGTTCGCTGTTATCAACGGACAGGTCATCTGCCATGTTAGGTAGGGTTTATAGGTAATAATCAGAAGCTTGTCTAGAGTTTCTTCTCGGCCTTTCCTCCCATCAAATGATGGGTACGGGACCCATGCCTCGAGGTCCTCGGTCTTTCTCGACCTACTCCACTTACTTGCTTCCTATCGGGCGGAGCCGTCTCCCTTGCCGCCCGTATGGCGAAACACCCATCCCACGCGTCTCACTTACCTCCAATCGCGAGGTCCACCGCATTTACCGCGTGCCAGTCATCTGACGGCATATGCACTAGCCGCCTCGGCTTGAGGTAGCTGCCTGGCCCTGCAGAAGCTCTGTATATCAACCCCACTTTACCCCTCCAACTTCTCTCATCTATCAGCAATCTACTACTACACAACATCGCAACATTACATTCCACGAAAGAAACTCGTCACAAGAGTCAACGACAGTCAATATGCAGTCCACAATCGAACTTGTCAACTTCCACAGCGACTGCCCAAAGTGCGGCTCTACTATTAGCGGCGATGCCAAGACCTGTGGATCTTGCGGCAGCGTAAGATGCTTGCGCAACAGTTCATCGTCGAAGCATAGCTAATTTGTCCTACAGTCTTGCCCCGTTTAAGTCGTGAAGAATGTGTTTGCATGGGTTGGCGTAGGTGTGGGTTTGAGTGAAGTGGATACCCCAAGGCTCGATGTGCACGGCGTTGATGCGGTTGCGGAGTAAGAGTATGGGAGTTTGAACGGCAGTGTGCACGTTTAGTGAGTGGCTGAATTGAAACATGGTATTACATTACATGGAATTCTCTTCGCTGCAAAACCACTTGAAGTACATGCGTTGATCCTCGTCTTTACACGCTCTTTCCTCTTCCTTACTCTTCCCTGAATAGGTCTCACCACCTCTCATCTAGCCCGCTCAGCTTCGCTTCAATGCGTCCTCTTGATACGCAAGTAAGTCAAAGCCAGTACTACGAATAGCACCACGACCGTCAAGAACATGAAGACCGAGTCTGCTTGACTTTGCTGGCACCGAGTGTTCAGCTTGCTAGACTTGCTGTCCCAGTTTGTATACCAACACGCGCCTCCTCCGTCGTTTGTTGTTGTGCATCCACCGTTCAAGATATCAATACCGCCGAGACCACCGTCAAATGGGTAATCGCCATTGCCATATCTATTGTGTGAACTCCCATCGGAACAATTCTTTCCCTGTAGTCGCATGGCTATAAGCTGTGTGTCTGGTTAGCGTGGAACAAGTAAAGTGCTGTGACTAGATCAGGCATGATCTATACTCGAACCGGAAGGACTCACCACGCCGCCGACAAGATTAGCAAGTAGAATGACAATGTCGATGGCCACTTCGAAGTAGCCTCGTAGGAATTCTGTCCACGACAACAGGAAACCAATGAGTGAACCAGCAAGAGTAATACCACCGATGCCTGCCGCAAGGGGCAGAAGTTTCGGTACGTCGGACATCGAAGGTACGGCATGTTTGGGATTGTGGCCTTTGATGAGAGTTATTGATAGGCCTAGGACTATGATTCCGAAGAGAGCTTGGAGGCCTCGAAGAATGGATAAGGGTATCAGTGTCTTGGTGAACGCCATTGAGTAAGGTTATCAGAGATGGAGTAGAAGAAGATTGATGCTGGAGGTGTTGGGTGAGTCTGAAAGAAGACTGAAGCGAGAGAGATGTGTATATGGTACTGTGAAGCGCCTGCACAGCCTTGCGGGTAGCTGCGACATGTTCTGCGACGACAATGTCGTACAGTCACACCACTTCGGAGTACATCACAGAATCGTACCTTTTGGGTAGAGCTTTCCGTGCTATATTATCCTGTGCAACACTGATCCTCCACGAGACCTTGAAAGGGCCTTGGCAATTCAAGACAGATATGCCCTGTCTGGGATAGCTACCATGGGGATTGCGTTGTGTGAATCTACAGGCTCGTATAAACCTCGTACCCTTTCAACAGTCCATCCCCCCACTCTCCATCCCTTCTCTGTCCTTACATATACCAGGACCCAAATGACAATGATTACTGGTACGTTCGATAGGGTAAAGGCAATATTGCACTGATAGAGAACGCAGCGCCTCCTCATACCACTGTCGTCCTGAAGGGAATCGAAGAAGCACTGGAAGTACTCAGGATACTCCATGCCCCACCGTGGGCAGACGACCAAGTTCTCGTACGCACCAAGATCACTGCACGAATAGCCTTTCACTTCAGAAGCCATCATCTGACCACGTGAATTAGTGAGATGACGTCGCAGCATGGCTGTACGACCGAGTTGTAAACTTACAGAGCCTATAGCCATATTCAGCGACAGAATACCGCCATCAATGGTGTTTATAATCCAGGGATGCAGGTAGTTACGGAGAATGGCGGTTGAGAGTCCAGCAACCAACGTCGATAAGCCCACTCCAGCTGAAGACCCTAAGATAGGTGGAAGTGGGCCCGTCCCATGGCTAGCGATGAAGAATATAGTGATAACGGACACAGTAGCGCTGAAGAGAACTTGGATACTGCGCGCAATCAAGACAGGAAATGACGGGGACACGCGCATCGTGGCTGGTCAGCTGCCTGTGACTTAAGATGACAAATGTGTGGATTATCAAAGAAGAATAAATTGAATCGTGCTTCGTTCTGTTACTATATCAAACCATAGGGACCGTTGCTCACACGTTGGGGAAGATCAAATCCTTCGAGGCTCTTCCGAATAGTGTTACCTTTCACCCGCCTCGGCGTCAGCAAAGCTTGACAGCACAGTTGCACAAAAGCGGGTAATAAGTACGTGCAACTTCGTCTTTCATTACTTCGTGTTCATAAACGGTGTGTGTCGCACATAGGCCACGACTAAACTGCGTCGACTACCATAAGGATTGTACCTTGCTTAGTGAGGAACTACGGAGAGCGTCGAAACGCTTGTTCATGTGACAAAACGCACAGATGATGAAATTGCTTGTAGTAGGGTATCGTGATACGAGAAAGAGACCGTCGT